CCAGGAGGAGGATATCAGGGCGGAGGTGGAGGTGGAGGTTACCAGCACGAGGGCTACTATCAGAATGGAGGACGACACCAGGAGAGAGGAGGAAGGGGTGGGCGCGGGGGTAGAGGAAGAGGAGGAGGAAGAGGAAGTGGGCAGGGAGGAGGATGGGGTGGAAGAGGAGGGCGGAATTATAACCAAGGGGGGCAATTTGAACAATTCTTTCAGCAAGGTGGGCAACAGTATAACCAGGCCAGCTTTGGCCAGGGAAGACAGTTTACTAGCTGAAAACAGACTGTTACTGCGATCTACAGCTTCGAAACGGACCCACAATTCTCTGAGGGTGGGAGAACAAGAGAGACGCAGGCCTCTGAATGAGCAGACAGGCATTACATCTCATAATTCCCATGGTGCCTCTGGAGTCTGTTTTACAGAGATCTCCTCTGAATGAACAATGCACTTCTACACGTGTACGGTTGGTTTAAACGGATCTGCTTCCAGCAGACCATTTAAGCTACTTTAGTTATTTGGAAGTGCGAGGTTGGGTTGGTAGAATCTCCTAGGATGAACTTTGGTGTGTTACTGGGTTTGTTTTCTTCTTCCTTACTCATTGATGATTGACATCGGTCCAGTCTACTGCCTGATCTCGCTGCCCCGACTCTGAATCTGACAAAGCCTTATACTAGGAAGTGATCAAACTTTTGTTATTCTAGTTTTATGGAAATTTTACTTTTTTTTTTTCCATCTCACTCAGTGAGATTTTGTTAACGTATGAATAAAGGTCAGCCGAGTTCTCACCGCTCACGTGTGAATGTTCGGTTGCTGACTGTGTGGAAACCCCGAGATTGATTGACTGACTTGTTTTGAGCTTTCTACTGGTTTGGGAAAGAGTGGATACAGTTCACCTTTACAATGTTTAAAGGTTTTGGAATGATTAAATAAACCGTAAAGGAAAGAGCTCACTGTCGTGGTGGATTTGTATTTTTTTAATCACAGAAAACTGATCAGTTTCAAATGAAGATTTTTTCTTGCATTATTATAGTGGCAATAAAATATCAGAAGTTACAATGATAGAAACAACTTTACTAAATTAAATACAAGAGTTCTACAGAAACTATGCAGAGTCCTATGATGCAGTGTGATTGTGACATGCTTAGAAATACAGTGGCCACATGGGGGTGATAGACAGCCATTTATTTTAGTTTAATACCTGCAAAATGGCCTAAACAAATTTCTAAACATTCAAAGTCACTTAATCACAGTTTTAAACCAGTCATTAGGAAACATTAAACACAAACTAGAATATTTTTTAAAAGCTACAGAATGTTTTTTTTTATAGTCGTGATTAGTCTGTTTTAGGGTAGTGTATTTATTGATGTTTTCCATGAACAGCAAGTGAATTGTAACAGTGCACTGAAGGAATCACAGAACATTTCTACATATGGCATTCAATTATTACACTCATTCTAGTTAAAGCAGACTGTTCAAATCTACATCGGTTTTTTTTTACCTTCAAAAATACACTATAAATACTTTTAATGTAATACATTTATAATGTCTTTGCCAGCTACAGTTACATAAATGGTCTCCAAATATTCCAGTCAAGATGGTAAAAGTCCCTTGATGTTTAATATTCAGTTTTACAGGCCAAGCTTATCTTCACTGGCAACCCTGAGATGCTGAGATGACCTGCTCTCTGCACAACTTTATTTCAGCGTTGGTAAAAACCTAACAATAATTAGATTGCTTAAATTTTTTATATATATATATAGTGAAGCTCAGAAATTTAGTGAGGAAAAATAAGTGCAGCAAGAACCTTGGGAATAAACATGTCTGTATGCTTGATGTTCAAAATGTAGTAAATGTACACCTTTCCCTCATGTAAACCTGGCTTCAACCAGAGAAACATTCATAAGACTATAGTCAATACAGCAATGACAAGGTTGATCATTTTACAGCAGTTATTATTCACCATATCTTCTGATGTCCCAGAAGTGACAAAGAGTCATCAGTTCTGCTACTCGAAGGCTCTGAAAGTCATGTTTAAATTGTTACATTTAAAGGGATAGTTAAGCTAAAAATGAAAACTAAAAATAGCAACAAAAAAAGTAATAGATGATATTTTGAAGTATGTTGGTAACCAAACAGTCTTGGTACCCATTGACTTTCATTGTATGGACTTATATATATTGTTGTTGTAAGGTGATTAAATGATGACAGAATCTTAATTTTTGGGTGAACTATCCCTTTCAGTAGTATGCTTTATATGCTACATCAAATCAAAATGAATTACATTTAGCATGTGCCTTTAACACCTCTCTTCTGATCTCTGACAATCTGAATGCTAACTAGCACTACAGATACACATGCATCATATTACCAGACATACACAGATGTGAGCAGAATCATTAGCACAGTATTAGAATAATAATCTAATGACTATGGCAACAGGTAAGCGCTTTCAGCACTAGGCTACACATGAAGGCTTCAGATGACAAACATGCTTTCTCAGCTGCTTCAGGAATCACTGGCATCTAACATTAATTCTGCATTCATTTAAATTAATTCCTCGCATGTTGTTTCAAACCGTGACTTTCTTTTGTGAAGACTTCTTTTAAGCTGCTATCTTCCATACAATGAAAGTGAATGGGAACCAACAAGAAAAAAATACGACTCATGCCAAGTCTTCATAAGCCTTCAATAGATTGAACTGAGGGATAGTTCACCCAAAAATGAAAAATCATGTCATTAATTACTCACCCTCATGTCGTTCCAAACCCTTAAGACCTTTGTTCATCATCGAAACACAAATGAAGACATTTTTGATGAAATCCAAGAGTTTTCTGATCCTCCATAGACAGCAATGCAACCGACAGGTTCAAGGCCCAGAAAGGTAGTAAGGACATCGTTAAAATAGTCCATGTGACATCAGTGGTTCAACTGTAGTTTTATGAAGCTGCAAGAATACCTTTTCTCTATTTTATAGATTTTATATAAGGACTATTTCAACAATGTCCTTACTACCTTCTGGGCCTTGAATGTGTCAATTGTTTTGCTGTCTATGGAGGGTCAGAAAGATCTTGGATTTCATCAAAAATATCTTAGTGTTCAGAAGATGAACATAGGTCTTACAGGTTTGGAACGACATGAGGGTAAGTAATTTATGACAGAATTTTTCATTTTAGGTTGAACAATCCCTTTAAGCTGATATTCAGTGAAAATCTTGCCTGACAGACATGGTCACCATTAACTTTCATTGTATCAAAAAAGGGCAGACTTTTTGATAAAAATCCTTTTGTTTTCCACAATAAATACAAGAAATAAACTCATTTTAGTTACAAAGCCGTGAGGGTGAGTAAATAATGACAGAATGTTAATTTTTTGGGGGGAACTGTTTCTTTAAATCTGCAATTTTGGTGCCAGAAGAGCATCTAATCCTATAGGCTCAAAGACTCACTATAATCCCTGTTTGTCTTCGTTCATCTGTTGATCCACCTGCGAGGTCTCTCTCACACACAGTCTGCAAAAATGATCGTATGAGGCTTGTCCCATCTGAGGTTGTCGGGCTCTAACGGAGCCGAGATGTCTGGGTGTCAAACTTATTTCAGAACATACGGCGCTGAAGGACAGTGTGTTGCCTTGGCAACAGACTATAGATGGACTCTTCTGGCGCTTAGCAACAGATGCCATATAAACACCTGGCTGACGGCACACCTGTGTCGGCAGAATTGAAGTCTTTGAATTCATGTATCTTTTCAACCTTACATAGCTATCAATGTTGCTAAGCAGTGCTGATGTAATGATGCATAAGGTCAGAGGTTACTTGTCTGCATTTTCTCAAGCACAGGAGACACAACTATGGTGCAAACCATTGGAGAAACATCTGTAAAACAGTGTAAGTGGTTTTTATAATTATATTTGGGGTAAAGGGTTTTAAAACTCGACGTACCTTCCACTTCAGATCATAATGTGTTGCTGGGTAACACATAAATGAAGTTAGTGTTTTAATGTTCGATCATACATACGTTCATCTTCATCTTTCCCAGTTCCACTTTCGACTTCAGACAACCTGAATATAACCTTCACATCCACTGTGTCCTTTCAGAGTAGTGTTTTTGGAGAACGAAAATCAGAGCGTGCGTCGCAAACACGTCAACGGCATACCTTAAATACTCTTGCTCACTCATCTATTATCACGCTGATGTATCCGTCACATCAGCTTCCAGTGATTCTCAGTTAGATTTCCAACCAGGACAGGACAGCACAGTCACTCCCTGTTTAGTCCCAGACCTTTCCTTTGATGCAACCCTTCCCCCAGTTCAGTCAGTGGGTTGCCTGCCGCCCATCTTTTACTGTGGCTGTAGAAATAGTGGCCCTATTCCTGATCCACTGGAGGCATGAGGCACCCCAGCACGCCCCCTAGAGCGGACAGCCCTCTGGGCCGTGGTCCTGACAGGCTCCAGGGTGTCCTGCATGGGCCCACAGAGCAGTCAAGTCAGCTGATCTGAAAACACACAGTGGAAGATCATGAGGACACATGACTTATTTGTTTAAGGAAAATAATCAGTGCTGCCTGCTCAGGACAATTTCAGTATGCATTTGGGATTTTTGGGGGAAGTAAGCAAACTCTGAACACTCTAGTAACTGTACAGCAACATGCTATATGTTTTATATTTTATATCGTCTGGCAAACATGTCCATCAGTGCACACTGCTATTTAAAAATTTGTGTATTTGAAAAAAATTATTATAATAATACTTTTATTCAGCAAACATATATAGAACTGATCAAAACAGTAAATACATTAATAAAATCACAAATGATTTCTATTTCCAAAATCAATACCGTTCTTTTGAAATTGTATTCATTAAGCAATCTTGACACTAAATATATGATGGTTTCCACAAAAATATTAAATGGCACAACTGTTTTCAACATTGATTAATATTAATAATATTAACATTAATAATATTAATAAATTACATTTTAAAATATATTATCAAGTGTTTTAATGTTCGATCATACATACGTTCATCTTCATCTTTCCCAGTTCCACTTTCGACTTCAGACAACCTGAATATAACCTTCACATCCACTGTGTCCTTTCAGAGTAGTGTTTTTGGAGAACGAAAATCAGAGCGTGCGTCGCAAACACGTCAACGGCATACCTTAAATACTCTTGCTCACTCATCTATTATCACGCTGATGTATCCGTCACATCAGCTTCCAGTGATTCTCAGTTAGATTTCCAACCAGGACAGGACAGCACAGTCACTCCCTGTTTAGTCCCAGACCTTTCCTTTGATGCAACCCTTCCCCCAGTTCAGTCAGTGGGTTGCCTGCCGCCCATCTTTTACTGTGGCTGTAGAAATAGTGGCCCTATTCCTGATCCACTGGAGGCATGAGGCACCCCAGCACGCCCCCTAGAGCGGACAGCCCTCTGGGCCGTGGTCCTGACAGGCTCCAGGGTGTCCTGCATGGGCCCACAGAGCAGTCAAGTCAGCTGATCTGAAAACACACAGTGGAACATCATGAGGACACATGACTCATTTGTTTAGGAGGAATAATTAGTACTGCCTGCTCAGGACAATTTCAGTATCTTTTTGAGATTTTTTGAGGGGGAAGTAAACAAACTCTGAACACTCTAGCGACTGGATAACAACATGCTAAAACTGCTCAGAACAACTTAGTAAACACATAGCAACACCTGGGCAACCACACACAGAAATCATATTTTCTTAAAAAAAAGTGTAAAAAGAAAAACTGCTATTGGGTGTTTCTTCAATTATGAGAGCTTCTGCCACATAATCGGAAAACAAACTTTCTTATTTGTAAGACCGTAAAAATTTTGATGTGTGTATATATACTGTATAATATATATATATATATATATAAACACATGTTGTATCACAAACAAGACATTTATGACCGTATGAGAGGTCAGAGCAAGAGCTGTTTAGAGTATTTTCACTATACACCCAGACAGGAAACAGGGCAAAAGCTTGTCCTCATGACAGGTGAAACAGAACTGGAACAGTTACCTCCCAGAACCCCACCGAGCAGATGTTAACCCCTGGCCCTGGTAACTAATGCTCCACCAAAAGATTAGGTTATGGGCTTAAAGCAGAGCCAGTCTCTTGTCAGCCCACACAAACAACAATGGCAAGTGGGGAACAGCTTGCACCCATTTCCATAAAGCTTTTCCACCTGCCCTTTCTTCCCATGATCCACCCTGACAAGCTTGGTCCGTGGGCAAAGCTAGCACTGTCGCCAGTGTCATATGCACTGTTAAATCTCCCTCAGCTATTTTGGGATCAATAGCCCATCACCAGCCACACATACAGTACACGCTCTCCAACACACACAAGTTTCCACAAAAATATTAAATGGCACAACTGTTTTCAACATTGATTAATATTAATAATATTAACATTAATAATATTAATAAATTACATTTTAAAATATATTATCATGTATATTTTAATATTTTTTATATTTATATTATATATGCATATTTATATTTATCAAATATAAATAATTTATTTTACTTTGTAATTATTTCACAATATTACTGTCGTTACTGTCGTTTTTACCAAATAAATGCAGCCTTGATGAGCAAAATATATTTCTTTCAAAAAATGTAACAAACTTTTGAATGGTGGTGTAAACATTTTTTGTTGTTGTTTTACTGTAAGAATTTTGTTAGTTTTAATAAAATGAAATCCACACCTGGAACATAAAAATACCAGAAGTTATTCAAATTAATATAATTATTATTATTAAAATAGTTTGATTGTAGTATTGTGGTTTTATATGTCCATCTAAAAGGGTTACAAATATTTAAGTTAGTTAAACATGCATATTCATGAACTGCTCACCTAAAAAAAAAAAATTCTGCATTGTAACGCTGACAGGTGCAGCAACAGTCTAATCCCGGTGTGTCAAGTGACCCTGCCTTTTTAAAGCCTGTTCTACAAATAACACATCTGAGATCTGAATTTAACAAACACAGCAACACAATCCAGGTCAGACATATGCTCTGCATTTTAACTCAAAACAAAGTGTCTGCCAGGTCCTAAAATAACAGCCTAGTGCCCTACTCAGGTTAGTGCTACTCCATATTTAGGCCCAACAGCGTGAGTGCTGTGGTGCTCTCGGCTCTGCGGCCCCTGATGAAGATTATCTCTAGAGCGACGAAAGACCAGACCGCAAAACCTTGGCGTTTCCATGGCAACAGGGGAGCAACGTTTCATAAAAAGACATTTCAGGGCCTTGGAAGAGATGTATGAATTAAAAGATTTTAATTCATACATTGAATGATTTTGGTTTGCGGTTTGTGGGATTCACAGATTCCGCAGCTTTGAAATAGTTACAGGATTATTTCTTCAGAACTCAAATGAGATGCTTTTCTCTCAGTCGTACCTCAGAGGTCCTGGTTTTGTTCATATGTTGTTCTGCGAGTCCGTTCTGCTGTGACTCTTCGCTGTGCTCCTGTGAGTTCCTGCTGTTCCTCGTCGCTGCCGAACTCTGCGTGTCGTTCTCCCAGCGAGCAAAGCCTTTGCTCTTGGACGCTTTGCGGTGAGGCCTGTATCTCATTTTGGGGAAGGTGTGTGACCCACTGTCTGCGACGGCCACCCAGCCGTTTTCGGGCCACAGGGGTTCTGTCTGCGTGGCCTGACTGGTGGTGGCTCTCTGGAGCCGCACTGAGATGCGCTGGGCTGAACCAGTCATCAGGGTGATGGACTTTCCCTCCAGGTCAGAGCCTGATGACGACGACACGGCGGGAAACGTAAACACCTCATCGTCATCTGTGCAATAACAGGACAAGAGAATGTTAGCAAAGGGAATATTTCTTCAATATTTTATTATCAGAAAAAAATGTTGTCTAGTTTTTTCTTAAAACAAGATCAATTTACAAAAAAATTGTTTTTAAAGAATATATCTTGATTTATGTTTAAACAATGACTGGCTAATAGTTTTTCCAATAAATTGTCATTTATGATTAAAACTAGAAAAATTCAAATGTTCTCTAAAACAAGTCTCACACAGTTTTGCTTCTCAAATAAATGTAGCTTTGTCTGGCAAACATGTCCATCAGTGTACACTACCATTTAAAAGTTTGTGGATTGAAAAAAAAATATATGTATATATATTAATAATACTTTTATCAGCAAGGATGCATTAAATTGATCAAAATCACTATCACTAAATATTTCTATATCCAAAATCAGTGCTGTTCTTTTGAAATTCTCATCATTAAACAATCTTAACACAAAATATATCATGGTTTCCACAAAAATATTAAACAGCACAACTGTTTTCAACATTGATTAAATAAATTTTCTATAATAGGAATCAATTACAATTTAAAATATATTATCATGTATATAGTATGTATATTTATTTCTATATTTCTCTATATTTATTTTATATATATTTATATATAAAACTAGAAAAATTCAAATGTTCTCTGAAAATAAGTCTCACACAATCTCACATTATTTTATTTAAATAAATTGAGCTTTTTTAAAGGATGTTTAGATATTTTTACTGGACTTTTTTTTTTTCAGTGAAACCTCAGTTACGAAGATCATTTTTTGTGTGTGAGATTTTTTAATTTACTTTCACATTAGATGATTTTTTAAAATTGAATATAGAAAAGACGATACAGCACTTTTTAGTGGTAAGTGCATGTTTGTGTTTGCCTGAGAGAGAGAGACATCACACTCATTTTACACTGTTTTACTCTGAGATAAGCAGATGGTGATGTACTGTACAGGTGTGTTTTCACCTTTACAGGTGGGCAGGCTGGGGCTGCTGGGTAAAGAGCTGTGTGTGAGCGCTCCAGGAGACACAAAAATAAGTCTCACACAATCTCACATTATTTTATTTAAATAAATTGAGCTTTTTTAAAGGATGTTTAGATATTTTTACTGGACTTTTTTTTTTTCAGTGAAACCTTAGTTACGAAGATCATTTTTTGTGTGTGAGATTTTTTAATTTACTTTCACATTAGATGATTTTTTAAAATTGAATATAGAAAAGACGATACAGCACTTTTTAGTGGTAAGTGCATGTTTGTGTTTGCCTGAGAGAGAGAGACATCACACTCATTTTACACTGTTTTACTCTGAGATAAGCAGATGGTGATGTACTGTACAGGTGTGTTTTCACCTTTACAGGTGGGCAGGCTGGGGCTGCTGGGTAAAGAGCTGTGTGTGAGCGCTCCAGGAGACACATTGCCCAGCGACGTGGATCGAGGGAGACGCCGACACGCCAAAACCAGCAGCTCACGACACTGTTTATGGCAGTTCACACCACAGTCTGAAAACAAACAACAGAGAGTGTGCATTTATCTGGATTTATAAATGTCAATAGTATACAATAAATAAGAAAGTAAAAAAAAAAAGTATTAATCTTTTTAAAAATATATATTACGCACATATGCATGCGACCGATTTATATTATATATATAAAAAAAAAAAAGATAAACAGGATATCTAACAAGCCACTAATATCAACTAAATAAACAGAAAAAATAAACTAATAGTGAATTTACAAAATTAGTGCCATGTTCAAGCATCAACATCTATTGTGATTTGCTCTATTTATTTATTTATTACCTTTGCACTTGTATCCTTGTTTAATAATTCCCCAGAGCTGAAAACATGGACGACGGGGTGAAGAGGAAGCGCATGAAGAGAACAAAATGGAGAGAGAGAAGCATGAGAGTAATTATGAATTGGGGACAGAAGCAGCAAGTTCATGCCATTTGAGTTTATGGTTTTCTGTACACAGACCCATGAGTAATAAACAGGATACTTCCACACGTTGCACCCTTCCTGTGCAATACAGTGTGACAAGGTGGATCTTTGTGTGTGTGTGTGCGTCTGAAAGTCTGTTTAAAAGAATGTGTGTGTTAACTCAGTGGATTCCTGTCTAACCATCTGTGTAAATACAAAACAATTTGAGCAGTAGTGACTTTGACTAAACACTCACTGTAGTGTATACACTCATTCTATAGTTCATCAGCCCAGAATATTCAGTTCAGTGGCAACAGGAAATGTGTTGCATTTAAAGACAACTTCTGTGTGTCTATGGCCGGAGATGTTTTGTATACAACGACCCTCAAACGTATGTGGGCACTTAAAAATGTCTGAATGGCATTGCATTATATTATTAATATATATGTTGTTTTCTGTCATGCACTGTATTTAAAAAAAATCCAGTGTTGTTTTATATTTTGTTAAATAATCCAAAAACATTATTTACTGTATCTCGTTGAAATGTTTGGGGTCGGTAATAATTTTTTATATTTTTGAAAGAAGTCTCTTATGCTCATCAAGGCTGCTTTTAATAAAAAATGCAGTTGAAAGAGTAATATTGTGAAATATTATTATAATTTAAAATGTAAAAATGGTCATTTACTCATGTAATTACAAATGCTGAATTTTTAGCAGCCATTACTTCAGTCTTCAGGGTCACATGATCCTTTAGAAATCATTCTAATATGCTGCTCAAGAAACATTTCTTATTATCAATGTTAAAACAGTGCACGTATTTTTGTAGAAACTGTAATGAATAGAAAGTAAATAAGAACAGCATTTTATTGTCAATTTTGATTCATTTAAAGCATTCTTGCTAAATAAAATTATTACATTTCTTTAAGAAAAATTAAAATGTTACTGACCCCAAACTTTTGAACAGTAGTGTATTTCATTATTTTTTAACAGTCAGCCACTTGGCCTGAAATGAGAAGAACAGCAATACAATTTGTAACTCAACTAGCCAGAAATCTTGGGAGTGAAAAACAGCTAGACACTGTGGTTTTAAGGTTGGATTTAACCTTTAAACACTGTCTGCATTGGTTCAGTGATGTTGTGGTAAACTCAGGTCTTGCTAGGTACGCTTGTTTGCACACACACAGAGCTGAACCCTCAGAAGTCTTCTATTGCACTTTAGTCCTAGAGAGTATCTTTGCATAAGCGTTGCACAGCAGAAACCTCCCAAAATACATTATCAATTGTGCTGATGTGAAAGGAAAGACGTAAAATCAGCTCTTACAAATCCAGCGCAGTGTTCACAGAATGTTGGCTTCAGGTAAGTCATCTCCTGGAAGTTGTGAATAAAACCAGGCCCCATCTTACACTGCAGCAGCGGGTTGGCACGCAGGAAATATGCCATCATCTCATCCTTACTGATCAATCCATCCCTTCACAAAAAGAGAGTGATCATCATGATAGCCTCCAGCTCATAAAGCATTTGCTTCCTGTGTCAAAACAGGTACGATATCTGAACAGAATCATAAGTGTGAGCGCAAGAGCTCAGAAGTAATGCATGCAGTCACACGCCAGTAATGCGGTTTGAGCGCTGAACGGCTAAGATGAACCACAGAGGACGCCTGGGGAATTTGTGAGTGTGTGAGAGAGTCTGTGCGTGCCTGATGCTGTGCATCCTTCACCGGGAGTCATGACCTTCAGCCTTTTAACAGTGCAGCAGGTAACCCACACTGAGCAGCTGCATGGCCTGAAGTCACTAATGTTGCATTACACATGATGCATTTTCTCTGATCATTAAAATTAAATACATAAATAAACTTTTATGTGTACATCTAGTGGTACAGAAAGCCTCAGGCTTAAAAATATGCTGTATTTTCCCAAAACTCAAAAAAAAAAAAAAAACACTGCAATTTAATTCTGTTTAATAATTTATTATTGTTGTTTAAATATTACATCACTGTGTTGTTTAGTCGGCATGCCATGCTCTGCTCCATTTGCAGCGATAAAGCACGCTTACGAGTTTAGCACGGTTGAGAAGAACCCTTTGAGGAATTTCCAGACACTAAATTGACCCTGTCAGAAATGAGATGATGTACTGAAAATGTGTCCCTTCCAATATCATCGAGCACTTCTGAATCTATGCCCAGGCTTATAAAGGATCATCAACACAGACTATGAGCTGCTCTCGCCAAGAAACACTATTAGCAGTTTGGCACTGCAGGGGCCTTTTACAAGAATCACACATTTTGTGTGTGTTTTTCCTACTTACTGGTCTTTATCAAGCACGCAGAAGGAATCGAGGAAAGGGAAATTTGCAGCAATACTCTCAAAGTCTTCCTGAGATATGTATCCGTCATGGTCATGGTCGTAGTTACGAAAAACAGACTTCACATGCAATGAAAAACAGGAATACACAAGTTTAGTGAATGTGTTGCATTGAGCAAAAGTTCATATATACATATATCTGTTAAAGTTTAGTGAATGTGTTGCATTGAGCAAAAGTTCATATATACATATATCTGTTAAATGGCTGGACTGTTCTCTGTATGTGGCATAAAAATGTGCACTGATATAATCTACCATATAATCAAATTCATATGATTAAACCATTCAGGATGTTTGGAGCCACTGAAATAGGCTCGACATAATCAGCCCCTTAGAATCTGGTTTTATAGAACTGCAAAACAATTGGTGGCATTTATATATTTGAAAAAATATGAAAATCATTTTGATTTATATAAAACATTAACACTAATGTTTTCAATATCATAAATGTCTGTGAGTATTGATGTTGACAGCATCTTACATCCACGACTTTCCTGATGTGTTTGTTGACCACTGAGGGATCTGGTTTGGTTGTGACCCCAGAGGCCCAGTCCAGCGGAGCCAGAGGTTTGTTGGGCGTTGTGGGTGAGGTGGGCTGCAGAAAAAACATGGATGTTATGAAATTAATTCTGTTCTGTGCTAATTTTTTATAAAAGAAACCCTTTCCAGCAAAAAATTCCTTGAGAGAGGAAGAAACAGTCTGTTACAGTTACAGTTGTGAACACAATATCAAATGGGTTACAGTGCAAGACAGGATAACCTTATGAAATTTTCACTTAAATTACCAAAACATGTTGAATAAGTGGCTATGAGTTCCAAGGTTTGGGGTAGGTATTTTTTCTTTTTAAAAAAGATTCTTATGTTCATCAAGGCCGCATTTATTTGATCAAAAATACAATAAAACTGTAATATTTTTAAAATACATTTTTTATTTCATATTTTAATACTTTTATAATGTCATTTATTCCTCTGATTTTTTTCAATATTTTCAAGACAAATCTCTTACCTGAGATTTGGGGTTACGGGGTTCTCTAAGAAGGGACAGCTCATAAATTTCATCCTCTGTGTAGTACAGATCCAAGGACAGCTTTACACAAACAGGCATAAAACAAAAAAAAATGTAAAGCCACTCATTTTAATTAATAAATGAAAACCACTGTGATTCAGTGCTGCGGTGAGGCTTTGATTGAATGTGGAGATTGACGAGCACAGACATGCGAGCAGAACTCACAGTGAGCAGGTAGATCAGGTCCATGTTGGGCTCCACCTGAGCCACAGCGCTCTGCAGGGACACCAGCTCATTAAAGGTGAGATACAGCTGCTGCATCTTCACAATGTTCACTTTCCCATCCTCCACCCAGTCTGGGAAGACCACGTGCACGGCGATCAGGTCCTTCAGGTGAACACCTAGGATTGGGATCTTAAACCCTTCGCTTTCACTGAAGGCTTTGCGGTAAGCACAGTAATTGCATTTTGACGAAACCAGCTCTGTCATTTCATTCCAGATCTGTCAATAGCATAGAAAATGACAGTTAGTGAAATTAATCACCTCACCTCTTTCTTTTATATGTTCTAGATATCACATGTCTGACTACTTGTTTTTTTTTTCTTGTCAGTGCATTTCTCATATACAGGTGTCTGAAATTTTATTCAGACACTTAAATTCAACCTAAATGTATTCATTTGCATTATATAACAAAATATCAAACCAAGTAACATCTGCGATGTGCAAAACATTTGTACAACAAACTATACTTTTCTAAGCCATTTTTGAAATACTTTTGACTATGATTATGCCTCATACAATGTTTCCTAAAAGTAACATCACATGTACTGCTTCAGCACTGGGAGTTGGCCTCCAATGACAGCTTGATTTTACGGACAAGGGAGTGAATAGTTTCTTAATAATTCCTTTTTTGCAGTGACTGTTGCACCTTGGTGACCTCTGGGCTGAGGTGAGAATGAGTTTCCTTCAAGCGGGAAATAGAACTGTGACTCAGACCCCCGACCACAGCCATCAGCGTGTTAAAGTTCTGCAGGTGGAGCAGTTTCTGAAAGAGACAGAAGAATCATATAGACTGTCAGATAGATAAATAAATGGGATATCTGATAGGAGATAGATAGATAGATTTGATCCATTAGTTCACATATAATCTAGGGCTTTTCATTTGCAGCATAATTGCACAAGTGCTGGCTGATCTCATAAAAGCAGAGCTCTCCTTTATTACTGGAGCTCCAGCAACTCGACAGCTCGACACTTAACATCTATTAGCTGACGTGGATCATGCCCAGCAGGCCTTAAAACAGATACTAAAAGCACAGGCTTTGTACTAAACGGATGCCTGGGTGCTCTTCACAATAGAGGCGTTTCATACACCCCCGGCGGCGTGAGAGCAGGCAGGCGGCTCCCTCGCACTCTTTCGCTGGCAGACATTTACATATCAAAGGGCCTGGAAATGTCATCTAGCTGCTTTCAGAATGCACTGACATAAACTGGTTTGCTGGGTGAAGGGTCTCGCATTTGCGTAATCAACGGTACAGTTCGACAGCGTGTCGCTTTAGTGCGCTACTCGGAATGCACGTTTATTTTTCAGAATCCTGGCCTTTTACCAAACGTAGTCTTTCGTAATGAGTAATTCAATCATTTTCTGGGCTTCATTACCTTGAAGTTGCATTTCCTGTTCCTTTATTTCTTACCCGTGTATTATTATATATTATATTACATTCTTCAGGATTATTGCAATCCTTTTAGACATGCTGAAGATAAATTTATGTTCTTACCTGTGCAACATGGATGTATTTGTTGATGACCTCTGCTCTGTGCTGAGGGGTAAGTTTACTGAGAACCATCAGTTGAACCCACTGGGAGATCCCGTTAAACAGAGCGATGGAGCGCTCTAATGTGGGGTTATCTACTAGACAGCCATGAATCACGTAACTCTGGTAATCTGTGAACTGAGGACATAAACAGAGTATGCTAGTTTTAGAAAGTAACAAAGTAGTTCAAACAGTAGTTCCGCTGTTTTCAAAGCAACAAACCTATTCCAGTAACAAACTTTTGAATGATACTTGTGAATAAACATGCTAAATTAAATAGCCAGTCTGAATGTAGCATTGGAAGTGAATCGGTTTAATTCTAGTGAATAGGTTTATTCAGATGGTTACTGTAAATATACAGACTGATTCATTCAGGTAAATCAGTTCGCCCTAAAGTCTCTCATATGCAGCTTCTAAAAAGTCCAGTTCGCAGTTTGACTGGCACACACATTTTAATTTCACCCAAAAATGAAAATTTGCTGTACATTTACACTCCCTCAGGCCATCCAAGATGTAGATGAGTTTGTTTCTTCATCGGAACAGATTTGGAGAAATTTAGCATTAAAATCACTTGCTCACCAATAGATCCTTTAGAATGTGAGTGCAAACTACCACTACTGAGGGTGAGTACATTTTCATCAAATTTGCATTTTTGGGTGAACTATTCCTTTAAATGTCATGGTTTCTATCACATTACTCTTTCCAAAGCTTAGTACTGATTTAGAAGGGAGGAATGGATAAAGGAAGGATGTTTGTTAACTAAAAAAAATACTTGACTGTTAGCTGCTAAGGATAACAATGCAGGCCGATGGAAAAAAATCAGCAGAGCTGATAAGTGAACCAAAGTGTGTTCTCATATGCACAGTCCTTTTTTCTTTCTATATCACAAAAACAAACACGCATTATCTTCACTGACGTAAGTTCACTACAGCTGCCGGCCTTCCCAGGTGAAGGAAACACTCTATTTTTCCATTTCTGCTGTGCACACTAACCGATATCCTCCTGATGGACTTGTACTCTAAGAAGGTGAGGTGTTCGGCCAACTCAATGGGTTCCAGATGATCAAACAGCAGTGACGCTTTACCCTTCTTCACCTGCTTCTTTCGCTGAGTCAGTTTACGCATCCAGTCATACGAGGGGCTGAAAAGACAAACATGTTTTCACTGTTTTATGTTCATTCATAGTGTATCACTACAGAATGCATTAAAAAAATGTTTTCCAGCCTTTCAGTGTTATTCCGTGTAGTTAGGGAGTTATTCTCCAACAATATAACAATATAAACTCAACATAATATTTAGAAAATAGATCTTCCTCTATATAATGTCACACTGCTGTCTCACTAATGTCGCAGCACAATCAAAAATGTAGTTTAGGCTCATTATGACAAGACACCTGCTATAATCTCATAATATAATCATGAAATGATCTCATGAATTATAATGTGCAAAATGTAAGATGACATTTAGTGTTAGTGACAAAGTCTAAGTGACAGGTGCACAATGCTCTCTGCAATCATTTCCACATAATCTGAATCAGTGATTAAAATACATGCTCATTAGCGTCAAGTTTTGCCATAAAATGGCAACATTTGAATTTACAACAAAGTATTTTCATTTCAATCAAAACGGTGCTCATGATTAAGCCAAATAGGTCAATAGTAATGGCACAGTCAATGATCGGCATGCTGTGAGCAGATACACAACCTTCAGAACCTGAGCGAGTGTTTGTGTGTTGTAACAACACTCACATTGTAGAAATGTCAAGTAGTTTAATGTGTTCGTCACCACCCAGCTGAGCGGCTGCATCTCGAAATTCTTCTGTAAGACGGATCAAACCTAGATCCAGATCAAACTCTGCAGGGAATTCAGCTATCCAGTACCTACACACACACACAGGTTTTAAAAAAATGGTAAGTTACATTGAACTTTTATTGCTGTGGCTAAACACAAAGTGTTTTTTAAAGTGTACAAATGGCTCTCAGTATTTCAGAAAAAGTTTACATATATTTATTTTCTGCCCCAGATCATTTACATTTCAACAAAATAACAGAAACCTAAATGTTGTAACTGCAGGCTGATGAATTGCTTGTCCAATCACATTGTATATATCAGTTTCCTCTCAGTTCTGCTCCAGCTGCCATGCTTAATGCTGTTTGTTGTCAGGTAACAGCCTTGAGAAAATGTTCAAACCCATCATCACTGTACTTACTTGTGGGGAACTGTAACCTTGAAGCAGAGTCTGTCTAGACCACAAACGCAAAAGAGAGAAACAGCTCACAACTCTGCAAACATTTGTTTAGTTGGTTTGCTGGTGTGCTAATTAAACTCATCTTACCCTTACAAAAAAGTATTTTGGTTGCACCATGGTACGGTGATGGTACAAGATAATACTTTGAAGCAAGAATTACCATATTTATATGCAGCAAAATAGTGTTTCGATGGAATTTCATGGTATTTTATCGCTGTGGTTTTTAACTGGCATGTTGTAACCCCAAAAAGGTTTGCAGGTCTATTCTGGGTTACAGACAACAAGGGGAAAAAACAGTAACTAAACACAAAAGCAAAATAATAATAAAAAATAACTAACTGTATATACCTGCAAAAATTTAGAATACTTTAAATAATTACCTTTTAAAAGCTAGGAGAAAAGTCTTCCTGCTTTTTTACTTTTGTTGTTGAGGTGAAAGGCTGTGCATCCAATGGGCTACAATATTTTGGCAAATGGTCTAACATTTTCAAAACAAAATATTAATGTTTCTTGAGCACAAAATCAGCAAATTTCTGCTTGTAGACAAATTTCTGCAAATACATTTGATTTCTGCAGAATCATGTGACAGAAGACTGGAGTAATGGCTGCTAAAAATTCAGAAATAAATTACATTACAAAATATATTCAAAAAGAAAACATTTTAAATTGTAATAATATTTCACAATCTTACTGTTTATACTGTTTTTACTGCACTGATAAAATAAATCCAGCCCTGGTGAGCATAAAAATATTCTTTTGAAAACATTATTAAGTGGGTATAAATAAGTCTAAGATGGTACACGTCCAAAAACATGACATGATTATAAAAAAAAAACACAAAAAACAAAACAAAAAAACAATGGTATTATTATAATACTTCTTGTAGTTCTATCAGACATGCAGAGTTGATTTCCTGTGGACCCCCTGAAAAACAGCAACAAATCTAGCCTGATTGGATGCTTCCAGTAAATATCAAGGCTACATTTTAAATCGAGCAAGGTTGCTTTTCCCACAGCAGGATGCAGTTCTACAAAACACTGACCTCCTTCATTTTGTGATGTTTTTGTTTTGGTGACTCTCACCAAGTCCCTGGAGAAAGGAACGCATGAAGCGTATTTATGTCAGATGCATGCTTTTTATCATTAATTATGTAGATGTTTTTGACTGTCGGACTCACTAAGGGCACTGAGACACAAAAACACATTCTTTTCTTGGTTTTCTGTTTGTTTGTTTTTTGAGACAAACAGCTGGAATGTGTGCCCAGTGTGAGTCAAAGTGACATCATGCAGTTAGGACGTAACAACGCAAGGGTGTTTGTATTGTGTAACTGTGCACATTAGTGAGACCAATGAGAGCAGGGGTCAAAAGGTCATCAGACAACTTTTACACAACACCTCAATATACACTGATAAGTTACCCTAACCACAGGTGTGTGCACATTGGAAAGTGTGTGTGTCTTTTTTTTTAATATCAAATCGGATAAAACTATTTTAGACTTTTTAAACTTAATACAATGATTTAAACTGCTAATTACATTGTGTATTAAATGCATTACATATTAACATAATTTGATAGTCAAAACCCATAAATTAACATGCATTTCAAAATGTCTTAGTATTTGTTTTTCCCCTTTTGCTTAAATGACAAGCTGCATAAATGCCATAAGTTTGTGTAAAACCCCACGACTGTTCTCTGGCATGATCCAGAGAGAATTTTGTGCTTTGATGAAAGGAAGAAATCTAATCATCTCTACAAGACTTTGCATGGTCACATGGTCAAATTTACTAGTGATCTAGAAACAGGGCTGAAATCTTAGATATCCTTATTCCTTTTACATTTCATTGTCAGATGATTTTTTAAATTCTAAAATGCTGTTTATTTCCAACTGTTTATTTTTATTTTCAACCCCTTACCTTACTGATCACTTGTGGTGTTCCCAGTCAAAACTGACCAACCTACAAAAATCGCTTATAAATTTATTGCTATGCTACATTATTACCAATTCTTAAAATCAATCTTTTTTCAATTTATTTTTATTGTATTAGCACAGGTTTTGTAGTTCTGTTCCGTCTGGAAACTGACTGATTGTAGGCCTCAATGATCTGAGCTTATTAACCTCATTTTCACCTTAGCAATTTTTTGCAGGTTGGTCATTTTTGTCCGGGAACACCACAAGTGTAACAAGGCATGGGAAAAATACCAAAAAAGTTACAAAAATCTTTTGTGAGCAAAGTCAGCAAGTTTTAGTCCAATGTGACTACATTAACAAGCATTTTTGGGAAAAAGAAAACCCTCTCAGGTTCAAAATGATAGAACACAACATGAGTGTTAAAATAAGGCTGGAATAAACTACATGACTTTTGCCCTGATTTCCCCCTGATCTACAGTTGACGCAAGTTCCTGAAAGTCAGAGCCAGTCTGCAGATTTGAGTTTACGGATTTCTTAGAAAATCATTTAGTGTATGATAATAACAGTCTCCGATTTTTTTTAGCTTCAGACTATGATTCCATCCATTCAGAGGAAAACATGTTTGATATTTTCAGCCGATTTTAGAGCACATATTGTTGACGTGTCTCCTAGTGTGATGAGAAAATGAGATGATGCATCTCAAGGCGTTTATCCCAAAGAATACGTTTCTGTGTGAGTTTGCTGTGATCGGAAGGACTTCAAATTCCGGTAGTGTATGATCCTCCTCAGTCGTTAAGTGCATGATGCCCAGTTTTCCGTTTGTGACTGTTTACAAAATTAAGTGTATGATGTCTAGAATTTTAAAATCTGTTCACATTTTATAAGTCTAGTGGTGTATTCCAGCCTTTAGATTTAAATTCTCAGATCATTATATAGTCTTGTATTTATTCTCAAAACAAATCCTGTGGTTTTGGTGGAGTGATGGATCTGAAAACTGGCAGGCAGCTGTGAATAGAGAAGAAAGGAAAGGTTGCCTGAGGAGATATGCTTTGTGAATAATAGATGGATGAATCGCTGAATCATTCTTTGCTGTGCACTAAAACACAAAATGTCCACTGTGGACACACGTCGATCTGAAGGAGCGATGCCTGTCCTTGTGACATCATCACTCCTCATTCTGAGCGCAGGCGACAGTCACGCAGCCCCCGGAGAAAAAATAGGAAGAACAGAAGGGGAATAAAAAAAAAAACGAAAACACTATATAATAGCCTCCTCACGACATGTTCTGTTGTTGCCTAGCAATGCAAATAAACACCTTAAATCATTCAGAAGAGGAAACTCATGGGGAATAAATGGGTTGTTTGTCTTGTTAAACGGAAGCTGTTTTTATTTACCTCATTAAATAGCAGATCTTCAGTCGTGTCCGCTGGCAGTCATCTCCCCGACAGTCACGGTACGTGATAGAGAGTCAAGGAGCATTAAACATGCTGGAGAATGAATGGATGTATATGCACATACAGTATGCAGTGAATGAATGGCATTGCCTTACACAACATATTGATTCAAGTGGCATTTATATAAAAGAAGGATAGCAGAAGCACACTTTCAAGTAAAACATTTCACAAAAAGAAGTTTTTGCATTAATGGCTAAGAAACGTACAGTGAATTCTGAGAAAAGTAGCATCATTTGTTTGGAGATGCCACTTGGTATCTACTGAGATCTAACATCAAACACTGTTAAAAACAGATATCTACTGAAACATCACACACAAACCACACACTCACTCGTACTGGACTGCCACAGGATATATAATCAGAAGTTTCCCAGCGAGCTCGGTGGAGGACACATACCAGCGATGCATCAGCAGAAGGGTTCGGGGAAGCTGATTTTCATGCAGCTCTCCTTCATCATCTATAACAGAAAGAGACAGTCACAGAAAGAGGGAGGAATATTACAAGATCAGATCTAATATAATATAACCATAATATAAATAATTTAAAAATAATCATAATAGGTCACACTTTATTTTAAAGTCCAGTTCTCGCTATTAACAAACCATTAACTATGACATTTGCCTCAATCAACTCCTAATTTGCTGCTTATTATTAGTTGGTAAAGTAGTTGTTACGTTTAGGTACTGGGTAGGATTAGGGATGTAGAATATGGTCCTGCAGAAAATGTGCTTTATAAGTACTAATAAACAGTTAAACATGTTAATAATACGCATTGCACCCTATTAGAGCACATATTTAGCACATATAGCACATATAAGCAACTATAGTTAATAGAGAGAATTGGTCCCTATACTAAAGTGTTACCTAATAATATATTATAAGAAAAAATAGAGCATGAGTAATGGAGAAAGGGAGGGTTACACATTTTTAGCATATTACACATTGATGAATAGCAGCTCAAAAACATAGATATGATATGAGATACATATGACACATATATGAAAATTGATATAAAGACCTAACGGAGGATATAAGTAAACAATCAATAACATGGGTCAATAACATTGATAAGAGCAGTAAGACCAGGAATATTAAGTATGATCATTTATAGTTATTAGCAACTATGATTAAGCAAAACAGAGGTCATTAATCATATGCAATCCATAACGGCATCAGCCATGACCAATAACAGTGGTCAATTACTGTGATTATCATAGTCAATTAATGAATTTGAACAAACATAAGATCTAGCAACTGAGCTAGCCTGAGATTGGTGTGTGAATCTGTTAGAAACCGATTTAAACATGGATAGCGGCCAAAATGATAGCTGTCATTTTAGTGTTCACTCACCAAACGCATGAATGCAGGCTTCCAGCAGTAGCTCCAGAGAAGCAGCTTTCCCCAGCGTAAACGACCCCATGACCTCCCGTCCGACCTGACCTCACTGGGACATCCAGATCTCTGCCATTAGGCAAGCCACCCTCTTTCTCTCTTCTTTTCTCTTCTCTTTTAAATGTGCTCAGTGTGCTCAGCAAAACAATGGTTGACTTGTGCCTCACTGCAGAAACAAACAAAACAGTGTCAATTAAAAAAAAAAAAAAGTTAAAGAAATATTTTATAAAGCCTTTCACATGCTTGCACCGAGGGGCTTTATTATGAATGAACTGATGAGGCTTTATAATGAATGAACTGATGCTGTTCAGTGTTCAGTAATCACCTCTTGCTCTAAAGTTTGTCAGCCGATCTTCGTCTTTTTCACATTTTTTGATGGATGCAGTACAAAATAGGCCCTGAAACTCTTTTTAAAAAGGAAAGGAAGTGATTAACCTTCAAGAATGTTCATCATCAACCTCAGGTGGTCAAACTAAATTATCCATTTCATTTTCCATTCATTTTATATTGAGGCTAGTTATTTTTGCTAAATGTCCAAACCATGGATCTATGCCAGAACTTTGTCTGAATTAGGCTATCACTTAGGAAGAGCTAAATATTTATTATTTATTAAATATTTAATAAATAATAATGTCTTACCGTAACAAAAAATGCAGTCAGTAAAAAATATCAAAATAGATTTAAAATATGAAAACGGATAGATTATGGTCTTCCCATTATGCTCCAAAATGATGTTTTTTGTGCTTTTTGCATTAAGAAGGATGTGCATAAAATAGTTAAATATAACAGTGTTAAGTAATAAAAATTAGTTACATTTTTGGGTAAAGACTAAATTATTTGGTAACGCTTTAGAATAGGGAACACATATTCACTATTAACTAAGGGTTTTCCCTGAACAAACTCCTAATTTGCTGCTTATTAATAGTTAGTAAGGTAGCTGTTAAGTTTAGGTATGGGGTTGGGATCTAAAATATGGTCATGCAGAATAAGACATTAATATGTACTTTATAAGTACTAATAAACAGCCAATATGCTAGTAATAAGCATGCTAATAAGCAACTAATTAATAGCGAGAACTGGTCCTTAAAATAAAGTGTTACCAATTATTTTAACAAAAATCATTTGCATTTCAATTTGACAGATTATGCCTAAATTGCTAGGTTCATTTCATGTTTAAAAATAGTTTATCTAACACATTTAATAAATCCTACAAAAGGCAAGCAAACAAAATAACATGGGATTTGTGCCTCAAATGCTTTAAAAAATAAACTAATGGTATCCATAAAGTGCCTTTTGTATTTCGCCCTAACCCTTCTCTCCAAACCACATCAGCAGACAGATCTGCGTTAAAGTTGAATTGTTTGACTGCTTTATTCTTCTGTGAACTCCCTATGACAGCTATCAATATTTCATCTCTCTGGCGGGAGCTCTGTTTGCATGACGCTACATCACACATCACGATTCCACACAGATGGCATGACATCATTCTGGCCCACTGAGCTGGACGTACACTACCTGATTAGAGCTTACATAAGATAATAGTGTCTTAACTCATTAACACTTATGAACGTCGTGGAGGATAACTAGCCCTTCAAACTGCCACTAAATCTTGCTCCTCTTGTGTTGCTTTGTTTTATTTCTGTCTTACGCTGTGATGTGTACATCAGTTTTCCGGATGACGTGTGTTTTTTTCCTGAATCCTTTATCTATGTAATCAAAACGGGCAGGGTAAGTGTGTGTTCCTGTGCACAAATAGCTAATAGATTAATTTTAGATTTGGGTTTATTTTTATTGCAGTGAAGATCAGAAAAGGTGCAATCTGAAGGATCAACAACAAATGATCCTTCAAAAATCTAAATACAAACACTGGAAATCAAATCTAGCCATAACAACAACAACAAATGTACACAGAGGTTAAGCAGCTGCTTGCGATGGAGAAGGCTCAGATTAATCTTGTGGGAATTTCAGTCAGCATCCTGGTCTTTGAAGTAAAACAGTCCCTGTGTGAAGTCATGTGTGAGATACAAGGGCAAACGAGGTACCTGCGCTACTGTCAATAACTCTTTTCGGAATTCATTGCCGTTGTCTTGGAGACGCCCTCTCATGATGTCATAAATGACCCCAGCAAGTGAGGTGATGGAAGAGATGAAAGAATCTATGTGGGACATGCAAAATAACTGCAAAACCATCAGACATTTCCATCCTGATCCCTGAATAGATAGAGATAGGGAATAGATCCCTGACCACAGAGATGAAGGGACCAGCGCCGTGGTTATAAATATCTCAGTCTAATTTTCACCCCTCTCATCTGTGAGTTTGAGTGCTGATGGCTGGAACCTGTCCTGACTCGCCTCATCCAGACCAGCACACACAGAGACATCAGTTACACAACCGTCACATGAAGCCAAATATATTAGATATTTATAACTCAAGCGCTATAAAATCCTGCATGATCTAAAATGCAGTGTGATATTAGTTAATGATGATTTAAGATTAATCACTATTAAACAATATCAGCAAAATTTAGTTCCTACATATATGCTTCAGTTTCTAAATTTCATAAATTAATAAATTACACTCTTAAATGTTCGACTAGCTGCATTACTGTGTTCCTGTGAGAAAATGCATGTCAAATCTTTCTCATACCCTTCTTTAGTTGCCAACCCGACTCAATATTTCAAAAGACTTTTTCCCTGCTGAATTATTTCTTATATTTCTGTGAAATGCTTTTATAAATAGATTTTGACCATGTTAGAAATGTTGATTTTTTTCTTTGTAACAGTGTTAAACAAACCAGCTTCCTTCAGTTCTGACAGCATAGAGAAGGCATATACAAAATTGATGTCTTTTTGTCCATGCACTACTGTCCAAAAGTTATGAGTTAGTGACAGTAAAGATATTTATATTAAAAAAGATCTTTGTTTCCACAAAAATATCAAGCAGAAAACTGCTTTTAACAGTAAATAATAAAAATAAGAAGATATTAAAAATAAGAAGAAAAAGAAATCTTGAGCACTAAATTAGCAAATTAGAATGCTTTTGAAAGGACTGGAGTAATGAATGCAAAAAAAATCAGTTTAAGTATATATTTGAAACAGAAATTCTAAAATTCTAATAATATTTCACAATATCATCATGTTTTTTGATCAAATGCAGTTTGCAATATTACTGACCACAATCATTTTAGGGGTAGTGTATATGCTAGTACACTTCTAAAATCACAAATATATGCATTTAAAATGTACAGTCTTTCTCCTTCTAGAAAATGGTGACTCATCCTGCACTACAGAGATTGTTATCCAATCAAATGCTCTCTAGAATGAGAATGCCCCGCCCTCGAATACCATCTGCCTCTTACTAGCTTGTAACAAATTATGCTTATAACCATGACTGAACTACTTTTTTTAAAGGGGGAAAAACACCCTATATGCCTCACACAAATGTCTAATTTCAAAAGGAAACACAGGAAAGAATACTGCGCTCGTCAAGCTATTTAATACTGTCTTTAAATGTGAGGTTAGAACAGCAGGAGTGCTACTTTTAATAGCACAAAACTGGAATAAACTGCCTCAGACAAGACCTAAATACCATTTAATATTCTCATAAATGCAAGAGCGCCAAAGAAGCTCTCGAAAATCAGAGCAAAACAGAGAGCGAGAGAATTACTCATTGAGAAAACGCAAGGACTCAGAACTTGAATGTGATGATGCCAATAGCATAAAGAGTGAGCACAGATCGAAGGTGCTTTTCATACATCTCACGCAAGAGCCAAAGACTCACATTTCCCTCATTCACTTACCCTAAATCTTCACATTGAGGACAGCGGTGTAAATCTGGAGGGTCAAGTGTAACTTCCAAAAGCATCTGTGGTTTGAGGACAGGAGAACTCCTCTCTAGCAGAACAGACTGCGATCAGCTGACTGACACTATCCCACTGTCCTCCACGCCTGTTTGTAAACACCAACGCACATCAGACGGCCATATGACAGATCATCACAGCCAATCAGAGTGACAGAACGGCTCAGAACACCAACAGGGGACAAGATGAATACAAATGGGAGAGAGAGAGTGAAGAGGACATGTGAGAATCAAGCTAGAAGAGACATAAAATGAATAATAATCAAGTGAAAAAGAGACTAAGAAAATGAAAAACAAAAAAGATACAGTCATAGAACTTTCGTGTTACAGCACTGGGACAAGTTGGATATTTCTTATTGGCACTACACTATAGACAAAAGCACTTCAAGCGAGAAAAATAATAAATATGATGTGAAATAAGGCAGGACAAGCAGGACAGAGTGTCTGGGTGAAAAGCAGATTCAGCAGATGTCTGTGTGTCTGGCAGCGAGAGAGGAACAGCTGCCCTCTACATCTGTGTGCGTGTAGTGAGATGAAATCACTGGGTTCTCAGTGAACTGGACTGCTGCTGTTCAAAACCCAGACTCCTCCTGCTGACCCCCAAGAAAGGTCACAGAAGTAAAGCATATCAGCATTTCTTTATGACTTAAGACTGATGCAGGCCATTTCACCTGCAGTTATTTCAGTGCAGATACTTCATTTCAAACAGCATTCATTTCTACTGTATTTTTTTGTCCATTTTACCATTTATTTTTCTAGAAAAATGACAAATGTCATAGAGAGAAAATTCCAAAAGTCTTTCCCAATTTCCTGACAATCATAGCTTACATGTGCATTAGTCAATATGTTGTATGGCTGTGGATTTCATTTTGCAACCTTTTAGTGATATAATGCTGCTTTGTGTCACCAGTCGGGTTTTTTTTTTTTGCAGTTTTTTTTAAATGCAGTCTACAAAATCAGTAAGAGTGTTGTATTTTTAAGAGAAGTCTCTTATACACACCAAGGCTACATTTCTTTAATTAAAAATTCAGAAAAAAAAGTAAGGTGAAATATTATTATGAATTAAATGTTATTACAGTGCTCCATATTTTACTATATCTTAAAATGCAATTTATTTCTGTGATGGCGAGGGAAAATGGTTACATGATCCTTCAGAAATTATTCTAATATGCTGATTTGTTGCTGGAGTAACATTTCTTATTTTCTTCAAATTTTTGAATGGCAGAGTACATTATGAAAATTAAAGAAAAATATTTATGGTCTATGTCTGGCTTGCTGCCTGTTATTAAGTGAGCACTGGTTTAAAGGAAAAAATGTAGCTGAACTCGAAACCACAGTCATGTTCCCTCCTCCTCACTCTGTATATTTCCTCCTCATTATTTTGAATTGCTTTAAAATGTAAGTTTTGAACGACCTTGTTGTGGGCTGATTATCAAGTTTAATTCACAAGTACAGTGCCCTGACCAACACTAAACTACAGTAAGAATTAGATCTATCTCTCTTCGTAGACAGCAACTGTGATGAGGACCGTGTCACAATATTCACACAGAGCTTCCACTGCTAATACAGACAAGAAAAAAATTAGCATGCATGGATGCACGCACGCACACAAGAACATTCACACACGCAGACAGAAAGCTCTCATGCACATAAACACAAAGACGCAAACCCATCTTGCTCCCTTGAACCATTCACACAATGCCAGAGACCTGCAATCAGTAAATGAGTTACCTCCCCACAACCTCATTATCAAACAGTCATCTAAAGCTTCAGTCCACAGAGACAACAGCCGATTATCTCTGTCAGTCGCTCTATAAAGCCTGATTTACTACAGATGAACCGAGCAAACCCAAAACACAACACCACCAGCAGTTCTAAATCAGATCAGGGCCCCAACCTGTGTACTTTTGAGATTGACATCTTTCAGTCAAATTATGAACCATGAATCATCTTGTCAGTACATCAATAATAGGATTTCGTCTAGAACTAGCAGCTTGACTTCCCAAACTACAAGCTACTCATAAAGTAGTTAAATGGACAGTTCACCCAAAGTTGATCATTTTGCCATCATTTATTCACCATCATGTTATTCTAAACCCGAATGACCTGGAACACAAGAAGTTTTTTTTTTTAAAGAATGTCAGTAACTGAACAGTTTTGACTGCAACCACAGCAGTATTTATCTGGGAAAAAATTGTGTGGATGTCATGTCAACTGTAACTGTGTCAAAAACAAACAAACAAAAAAATCACAAAATATTTTGCTACACAAAAGATGTAGCATGCTGCACAAGGACTTCCTGTGCAGGGAAATACATCAGTGAATTATTTGAAGTTGTACATTTACAACTGTTTGAACAAACCAATTCACTAAAATGAACTGGACTTTTCAAAACGGTATTCTACACAATAGATACAAGATATAGCGTGCTTGATTTTTGCCTGCAGCTTGTACAGTTTCAATCTGATAATTAAACAGTGATGCAGCATAACAGTGATCATGCTCCAATGCTACTTTTTGGAAAAAAGTAGCTTGTTACTGGAAAATCAAGAACTTTATTTTTATATCTATGCTATGCATCTGGAAGAAGTTTTTATCCAAAGCGACATTGCATTCAATGGTATAATTAATCTGAAACCAAACATAACCATGAACTTGTGCAGTGCTCCACTGTTTGAGCTACATGAACCTCCAAATAAAATATTTTGAAACCAGTGTATCCACTTTCACGCTACTGAAAAAGGTAGTATCACTGCTGCTTTTAGTCAGGTACTCTCCAACACTGAAGGGTACAGCGTCCGTGCAACTGAAAAAGGAACAACACTTTGACAACTTTGGGTAACGTTTCTCTCTGAAACAGAGCTGCTAACATCCTGCCACACACTGCAAAGGGACCGAGCAGGAACTACAGTCTGTGTGAAATTGCCATATAGAAAAGGCTAAAACAAAGTAATTATCCAGAGGAACAAAAGATGTGTATAATTCATAAAGCAGTGGCTGTTGCTTGTTCCTCACACTGAGCTGAAACTTCCCCAACACCATGCATTTTTAAAGAGTCATGCTAATGCTAACCTACTTAAAAGTTACATCTTAACTTGACTGGTCTGTTGTTCATTCTGACATCTAGACCAAGAGTTGAAACTAGACGATGATCTTACTTGATGAGGACCTGGACAAGTGCCGATATTTCATGACACATTTGAAAAGTGCAAAAATGATAACTCACTCTAAAGTCTGGGATGCATCTGGCCTGAGAGCAACTGCTTTACCTCACGATCAGAAATCTGGATGAAAGAGAGGAATCTGTTACTGAATATATAGCTTTTGGCAATTGCAACACATGGCAGATGGGTTATTGAATACAGTTTTACAGTTTCATTTAAAGGAACTGTCCAACCAAAAATGAAAATTGTATCAGCATTTATTCACTGAAAGTCTTAATGAAGATGCATAAATTATGGCAAACACTTTTTTTTTCTAACCCAGGGTTTAGAAACTGGGGTCCAGGGACCCCATTGAGGGTCGTAATGGATCATTTGAAAGGAAATAAATAAATGTTTTAAAACGTAGTTTTATGGTTCTTAAAGTTTACTGGAAAACATCTTTGGAACAATAGTTATTATTTAAAAAAACACTACAAAAATGTATTTCAATTCAATTCAAGTTTATTTGTATAGCGCTTTTCACGATACAAATCGTTGCAAAGCAGCTTTACAGGAAATTAAGTTTCTACAATATATTTAGTAGTAGTATTTGTAGTAGTAGTAGTAGTAGTATTTGAATTGAATTGAAAATGTTACTCTGTGGTTTGCATATCTAATATTATAGCGTGCTGATAAAAGACACACTTGATAAAAAAAAAATTTCAGCTAATATTTAATAAATTTATTTTGGCTTCAAATACAGTAACAATATTAAATCCATTAAGTTATAATATCATGCTTTTTCGATTTTTAAATGTTTAACATTATATATGCAGAGAGAAAGGGGAAATGAATGGTTTCTGTAATAATGAGAGATCTCTGGACCCCAACATTGTGAAATTCAGCAAGAAGGCCTGCCATGTGGCACTAGTGAATGTGAGAAATATTCATTCTCGTTCTCTCTCTCTCTCATTCTCCCACAGTTCACTGATGTAGATGAAGGGATTGTTTGTCTAAAAGGCGAATGGACTTCCTTCTATTCTGGCCTTTTTCCTGTCTGTGTAGCAGGCGTCCCTGTGCCAGGCTAAAAATACTCCAAAACACACCGTAAACTGAAGCCCGGCACACAGGAACCACGTCACAATACACACGCGGGAGGGGTGGCGGTGACCACCAATCTGTCCTTTTGTGTGTGCAAAAGGGGGTGTGAGGGAAAGAAAAAGATCATGAGCGAAAGACAATAGTAAGGAGTGTTAGCATTACTGTCTTTTTCTTTCTCCTCACCACTGCGGGTTAAATAAAGGCAGGTTGCTTTTTTTCCAGTCAGTGGCTTTTGAACAGGATGTCATAGACACACAGTGGATCTGCGTCACGTGATTTCCGCCTCCCCCAAAATAATCAAGCCAGAGTAACTATAGCTTCAATAAACAGCATGACCTTGATCTGCTCTCAAATGAGAGCGACAAAACAATTGCAAATACATCAAACTCTCAGCCCGAACAACAGCGAGGGACATTAACGGCATGTTCAAACAATGGACAAGCCCAATTCTCAACTCTCTCTTTTGTTTCAAAGGCCCTCTATTCAAATGAGTGCCAGATATACAGTATGTAATATGACTACCACGTATAGAAATTCAGAGCCTATTTTTCCAGCTTCCATTCTCTGAGGGGACGAGCCCCTCTGGTTACCATAGTGAGGAGAATTTATTCACAGACAACAGGACTTTCCACCCAGCAGGGTGTCATTCAATTGCCGATATTTACGGGCAGGGATTACTCACAGTTAGGATCACCCACACTCAGGCCCCCCAAGTATGCCCTGCGAAAGCTTGCATTTTCCCATCTATCTGTTTGGCCTGTTTTAGTGGGTCTGGTTGAGGTACGAGCTCTTCAATCTGTCTGTGGTTTGTATACGCAAGAGTACAGGGGTGAAGACAGGTTTCAGAACGGAAGAGCTTTGCACAAGTAATGGCTTGGTAACACTAAACATGCAACAGCTGAATTTAACTCCAGTTTCAGGTGAGTCTCGCAGAACCACTGAATGATCAAAGCTCTTACCTCAGGACTGCAATACAGTGAGATATATCTATAATTCTCACCTGTTCAGGACAGGGGTGTGTCATTGAAAATGACATTTTGGTGAAGAACTCCTTCTCATCTAATGCACAAATACTATATAGGCACTTGCAATCCATTCCAGAGAAGTATTATAGTGGCATTTGATGGAGCTTTGACATATACCATGGTACTGAATGTACTTTCCATATTCATGTACCAGATTATTTATACGGCACTTAAAAAATCTGTCCAACACAAATAACAATAATTAACTTGTCTTTAACGTCTTAATTGTTTCTCACAGACATCAAAAGAGATCAAATGGACAGCAAACTGAGTATCTTCTCAGATTTTTCTGTAAAGAGGCATGTCAAATTACTGGAAGTTTAGAAAAGATCGCAACAATTGATTTTCCAAGTTACTTACGTTTGCAATTAAAAGATTTTGATATGAACCACACATTTCTCATCGCATTCTTTGAAAACCACAAGATTTGGGCTTTGATAACATAAATCACATACATTTTAGCACTCGATACTCTTACTGTATATCAACTAATTTGTTTGGTTTTTCTAAAGGATATTTTAGCAGAAACATTTATGAATCACATCTGATAACTTCATTAGGTATCTTATTATTACTGCTATGAAAGAGCAACCTGGTACATTTGAAGGCAGACATATTGGTACTTTTTTGTTAGAAATCAATTTAATCTCTGAGCATTTTTAAACTAAGGCTGATGATACACGGGGCAACTTTTTGAGCAATGTTGCCGGGCAACTTTGGTTAATGTTGACATCAATGGGCAACCAGGTGAGACACAGGGCCCAAAGTATCCAGATAGAAATTTGTTACCCATTCTCAGTGGGAAAGTGCCCAAGAAACAATGTTCAAAAAACGTTGCCTGGCAAAATTGCTAAAAAAGTTGCCCTGTGTATCATCAGCCTAACTGTATTACAGCATAAATTCCAATATTTTAGTGAACACAGCACTGATTTCACATCATAATATGTGAACAGTTCAGTGAATCATCATTAAATGACGAAGTAGGCCATAGCAACATTGAAGGACACTTGTCCTTCCTCTATCTCTTTTTTTCTCTAAACGTGTATGTGCATTGTGTGTGTGTGTGTGTGTGTGTGTGTGTGTGTGTGTGTGACACTAGCAGCTGTTTTTCTGTCCTCCTTCCTGTTCATTCAAAAGGGATGCAGACCATCTTGTTTCGTCTCATCGAGTCTAAAAAAGAACCAGCTAAACACAAACAATGAGCACATATCCTGCTCCGCCAACCCAGTTTGTTTCACACTCTGACAGTGTTTGTTTTAAACAGCTACGTGAACATTAGCATTGGGCTATTGTTACTGATGTGTGCTGTGTCAGTAGACAAGAACAAAGCATATGAAACCTCTTCATAAAGTACTGACATTCCATCACCCTTCTGAAAAAGCTGTTTCAGAATAATAAATGTGAAAAGACTGATTTATATTTATATTTAAGTGCACTCTTTCACTAATTGTTATGTGGCTGAGGTTTGTGTCACATGAAATGCTGTGGAAGATTTGAGGTCATATCTTTGATGAAACCATGACTCCCTTGTCTAATAATCCAGTTTACCAAACATTTACTTGGATTTTGCAGAAACGTTCTTAGAAATTCCTTGAAACATCTAACTGAAATGTCGAACTGCTCAGAGCCCGATTGTTTTGTTGTTCAGTAATCATGACTAACACATTTATCCAGGCGTCACACTTACAAAACACTTCCATGTAACTTTAGTCAAATACTATGAAAGTCTTGGGTAATATTACACATTGTAAAGACCTGATAAACACTTTACTTGTGTCTTTTCGTGGAGGTAGATTTTGTGGCTCTCATGAAAGCTGTAGCTAATGTGTGACTGAGTGAATTCATGCATGCTGTCTGAATATGAGGAAATGTTACAGGTGTACTTTACATACATATAACCCTGCATTATGCTTGCACTGAATGACACAAGCCGTAACTTTTGACTGAATCGATGACAGCTGAAACAGGTCACAGAAGCTACTGAAAGACTGATCCAGGATCAGGGATCAAACATTTCTGATGTGAGGTCAACAGGGCAGGAAAGACTTCTGATGGGAGTTAAGTGCTTTTTGCTGTAATTCACTGCCATCTGGTTCAACTGCAGAAAGTGTGTGAATTTCTGTACCTGATTTATAGTTAGAAAGAGGAAGACTAGAGTGGAAGATTGAGGAAATTAAAATTAACACTATTTCCTCATATTGTTGAACAATTCATTGGTGCATGTCATTTCAAAGAAAAAATAGTTTGTCTTCACCATCACCACCTTTAATCAAAATATAATAACTTCCTTTTATAATGAAACAATTTTCCTTTTTCTGCTGAAATCACATAGGCTGTGTGGTAATTGGATAATTTTAACCAATAGCCAAACTGCAATTTATGCAAAATTGGAGCAAACTTGAATACGCTCTAGCTTCATTCCACTTGTACCCATCATATAAATTCCTTAAGGATAGAATCAAGTCATTACACCTTTTTCTTGTGAAAAAGAAGAAATGTCAAATTACTGAAATAAAATGGGTTGCAGATGGCAATTCATGCAGACTTTAAAGAAGTACAATAGTTCACCCAAAAATGGAACAGATTTGGATAAATTTAGCATTACATCACTTGCTTACCAATGGATCTTCTGCAGTGAAGGGGTGCCGTCAGAATGAGAGTCCAAAAAGCTGATAAAAGCATGAATCATTGTCATAAATTAACATTTTGTAGAGTGTAAAGCTGCGTGTTTGTAATAAACAAATCCGTCAAGACTTCAAACCATTGCTTACTGCTAAAATACGAGTCCCTTATCCAAAATACTGCTTTCTCCTGTGAATAAGTTGTCTTGCCTGAATCAGGAGAGAAATATGCACAGATCAAGTATCGTTTAAAAGCGAAAAGATTTCTAAACAAACATGTCAGTGGATTTTGATGTGAGAGGACAACAGGGATGGACTTTTTCACTGGAGAAAGAGTTATAATGGGGTATGGACAGAAGCGACAGTTTACAGTGAAAACGCCTTTGCTTCATACAAACTTTACAAGACGTTAATTGATGGACTTTACTACTACTTTACGTCTACTGTTGGTTTGTTTTTAACAGCTACTTGGGCTCTCATTCTGACGGCACCCATTCACTGCAGAGGATCTGGTTCATTGGTTAACAAACGATGCAGTGCTAAATTTCTTAAAAATGAGAAAGAAAAATTTCTTTCTTAAAAAAGAAAAACTTTGTGAACATACTTTCGCAAGGCGAATAAGTTGTCTTGCCTGAATCAGGAGAGAAATATGCACAGATCAAGTATCGTTTAAAAGCGAAAAGATTTCTAAACAAACATGTCAGTGGATTTTGATGTGAGAGGACAACAGGGATGGACTTTTTCACTGGAGAAAGAGTTATAATGGGGTATGGACAGAAGCGACAGTTTACAGTGAAAACGCCTTTGCTTCATACAAACTTTACAAGACGTTAATTGATGGACTTTACTACTACTTTACGTCTACTGTTGGTTTGTTTTTAACAGCTACTTGGGCTCTCATTCTGACGGCACCCATTCACTGCAGAGGATCTGGTTCATTGGTGAACAAACGATGCAGTGCTAAATTTCTTAAAAATGGACTTACGTACACATGTATTGACCAAATCAGCAAAGAAAAACTTTGTGAACATACTTTCGCAAGGTTAGTTACAGAATCACTCTGATATGGACAGAAGATAGACTTGCAAGCACATACGCAGCAGGGCGCAAAAACACATTGACACTCTTGCTCTATAAATAGTCTGCCATTTTACTGGCTCACAACCGTACTGCAAATAACACCGATAAGAGAAAGATGGTTTAGAAATAGAAACAGCAGGTAAAAAGGCACTATGAAAAAAAAATCAAATGAGACAGCATATGAGGGAGAGTATGTAGTGGAGTGAGACAGTGAGGAAGAACCATCCATGTTACAGACACCTGCCTACACTTGCCGTCATAGACTCTGTGTAACTGCAGAAACAACAGCTCGGTGAATGAGTGTGTGTGTTCAGCAGATACATGAGTGCTAATGTGTTAACAGAGCTTAAATATTACTGTCCGCTGATCCCACCCACAGATTATCAGCACACTGAGCAAAGAGATGAAAAAAGAACAGATGTTATTATTTACACCTTGATTACCAAGCCAACTAAATGCTGACTTCTATTGTATGTATAGGAAGTTTAATAACTATATGTTAATTATAATCCTAAAAAAAAAAAAAACATTATTTACTATTTTTATCAATGTTAAAAATAATGATTTACTTCATCATTTAGACCTTTGAGTACCTTATTTGACAAACATAGTCATTGATTCAAAGAGAGAAGCTGTTGTACAACAGTAATTCAACATCCTGTAATTCAAATTCAGATGTTCACGTGTGCATTTATGACTAATTACTGCACAGGAATACAGACAAGAACTATTTAGAGACACTGGACTTCTGGCCAGTTCTAAATAAGGTCCTTACAAGCCACAGGTTAATGCTGCAGTATACATGACCTCTTCTCAGCTATTTGCTTTATGGAAAACTTTATGAAACGATGATGAATAACTGTGATTTTTCCATTAATGCATTAACTTGAAACACGGACATGGTTAATAAAACCAGTGAGAGTGAGCTGCTGAGATAAACTGAAAGAGAGAAAGCATGCATGCATGTGTTGGAAAGAAAGAGTCAGTGTGTATCCATGTGTTCGAGTGGGATTCAGAGAGAACGTAGATGTCCTTGGGCCACGATCGTCCCTGAGACTTATGAACAAAAATTGAAACTACAACAACATTTGCAATGCAACATCTGAGCAGACTGCAATGTGAACTGACTAAAAGCATTATGTCACCCTAGAGCTTTGCAGGAAATTGTGTGTACGTTAATACACACATCAATAAATTAAAATAAATATGTGTTAAGGAGCTACACTCTTACAGACGTGTTAATATAAGCTAATTATTACTACAGACTAACCCAAACTGTAACTCTAAAAGAAATTATATTATTAATTAATCCATATGTACATGGATCACTCTGCTGTGGCAACCCCTGATGAGAAAGGAAGCAAGCCAAAGGTTTTTT